GCGGCGCGGTAGCGGCAGGTTTTTTAAAAAACCATCGCGGCAGCGGCAGGATTTTTTTGGAGAACATTGAAAAACTGTATGAATTTAATAGAATTTCAGGATTTACAAATGAAACTCCCTGATATTGAATAAATCTGATGGACTAGTACCCATATCTCTGGTCAAATATAGTCACAGCAGTGAAATTAGAAACACTTTTTTGAAAACCGTCGCGGCAGCGGCGCGGTGGCGGCACGTTTATTTTATAATTCATCGCGGCAGCGGCGCGGCAGCGTTTCTTTTATAAGTCATCGCGGTGCGGCAGCGTCGCGGCAACATTTTTTTATAAACCGTCGCGGCGCGGCAGCTTTTTTTTTCTAAGGCCGCGGCGCGGCAGCGGTAGATTTTCAGCCGCGATGGACATCTCTGCTATCTGCTTTAGCTCATATTTCAATTAATGCTGTCTTCAGTGAATATCTCTTTCAAGATGCAACTTCGTTAATGTGAACAGATAACCATTTGTAGTCATAACAAATCGTGGATTATATTTCACACAGAGAATACTATCCTCGTTTAAATAATTTCGACGATCAAACTAACGAACACATTTTTAAAAATCATCCATCATTTGTCTTTCGTTCGATCAGCTACTCTTTGTGTTGCTTATGGAGAAAATAAATACTTGAAGAGTTGTTCTACGAACTTGGTCTAATGCCAAAGTATCTTGTTATGTTTTTTTTCCTCTACATATGATTATTGGCACTGTTGTGTAGATAAAGCGTCATTTTTACAACTTGTGGAATGACGAATAGTTTCCCAGCCAAAAGAATAATGACAACATGGAACTAAAAATGCATTATTTTCCGTTGACACACTATTTCGACCATTAAAATGCATCTTAGATCCATAAATAATGGAAAACTATCCATTAAAATTCATTTTGATCCACAAACGAACCATTTGAACATTTTTAATGCATGGATTCTACTGTTTAGCGTACCGACTAGTTTTACTCAATCTTTTGCGTTTACCTTCATAAATAACGCTTCAATAAAAAAAATATTTTTACTACTTGGAACAATTAGATGTGCTTGTAGAGATCCTGAGATGTATCAAGTATTGAGAATTTATACAGTTTAAAAATTGTTTAAAACATCTTAAAATTATACACTAAAAATTAAGTATCTGATTGTAAAATGGTTTTTTTCAAGAATAAAATATCTTATGAGGATTCGTCAGAGTTTGCATATTGGAAAAAATAAATGTATTTGATCTTGCCTGGGTCATGCCATCAGTCGATCGAAAATCTAGTTTTTGAATGATATGAGATGGATCAATGATGACGTTTGAATCAGGAAGAATTGTGCCTTGCATAATATTGCTACATTTAAACTTTTTTCTCGAAGATTGAGGTGTCTGCAGCAGAAGACAATTTTACTTGATGAAGGAGAAAGTAAATTTCATTTTTGTCCACCAGATGACTAATACATAAAATGAATCCGACCGACTACTGTTTTTCTTTTGACTTGTAGAGAACACAAGCATCATTGGAAGGTAGAATGATGAAGTCATCAGCGCTATACCGCAAATTATTAAAAAACAAGGTTTTATATAGTATAATGATGAAACGAATCGAATGTGGCCATGAAAAAAATGAGATCAGATGATGATGATAAATTTTTTTTTATAAAATTTTACTACAGGTGTATCATCAATATTGATAGAAGTAATTTGACGAGACGATGATAAAATTCCGCATATGTACTCTTGGTCTGTCATCGAAAATGTTGGGAAACAAGCAAAAGTGATGCTTAACGATGAGTGTGAGTGTGGGTATACATAAGAAGAAAATCAACACCTGCACCGCATATTCCACCTACACTCACACTCACCTGCCCACGTGCTCACACTCACATCCATACACTCTCTGTTTCAGTAAAAAGTCTACATGACTGTAAAACAAAGATTGTCAAGTGAAAGAGACTGGTATTGAAAGTTTGTTTTCAATGCTGTTTTGATTCATAATTATAAAGTGATCTACGGTATTGAAACATTCGCTTAAAATTATCATGAACATGCATGTTAATACTTTTACTGATAACAAAATGATGATCGTGTGCGGATTCCATACATGAAATTATTAAAACAAAATATCATTGATGGTAGCTCTTTGATTATTTTGAATTATTGTTATTGTCTCAATCTTCTTTACTACAGTGATTAATGATATTAGATATTATTGCCAATCTGACTTCCATCAGTTAAAGTTATTTAAGAAAAAACTGTTTAGTCTTGAGGCTGAGTGAAATGCCAATGTCAGAATATTTCTTTTTCTACGCTACAAACAGTTCATCAGCACTATTACATTAATAATCATTATTCTTTATTAGATAATAAATATTTTCAACAAAATAGAAAATATTAAAACTTAAACAAAACTCATATTAGTATTAATATATGTCCTGGAATCAATAAACAGCGAAATAGTTCCAAAATAAAAAAAATAACTTTATTTTGTTTTATCTATTTGAATTTTCGAATTGAGTTCTGTATTTAAGAAAAAAATCACAGATAGATATGAAAGCCCAACCACAAAAAACAGCACACCAATGGTATATAAAAAACAATCATCTATGAGAATATATCAACAAGTTATATCTTTAAATTAAATAAGAATATTTCCTGCTACTAGTAGTTATAGTTCTATATCATGAATTGTCACCATGATCATTATTAATCCAAGATGGTGGTACAAACTCTTCAACCATTTGCCAAACAATAGCTAAAGGAAATGATAGATATTTGAAATAGATACGTATTTAATAGATTTTATCAGAGCAAAACAAAATAATCAACAGTAATGAATTCTCTATTTAAATGACTTACATTTCCATTGTTCTATAGTATATTGTGCATCTTCATGTTCATCAACTAGAGGTTCTATAGTGGGTTCTTCTATTGTACTATGATATTGCTTCAGAAATTGATGAGCTAAAATACAAATACGATATAGAAAACAGAATCTTATATGATTAAATTATGAAAATTTACCGAGTGCTTGTTCTGCAGTTGGACGCAGACGATGATCAAAAGATAGAAGACGATCAAGTAAATCAACACCTGTCATCAAAAAAATATGGATAAAATTAATTTCTATTTTCACGTTTGTTTTTTTTGTTCGAAATTTACCTTCTGGTGAAACACCTGATATTGGTACGGTACCTGTTAAGTCATATTTATAACCGAATAATTCATTAAAATCTTGTTTTGGTTTCGGTGTCATTTGACTTATATAATTTCGTGGTTCTAAAATTTTCTTACATCAATTATATTGCATTATGAAAATAAACTTTAAGAGATATCATCCTGATGATAATCGAAAGCATTTTTACACTTCATGTGAATGAAAAACTGTACTTTTCTTTTGAATATTTTATACAAACCTGCTGTGCATATTTCATTTAATGTTTGTATGTTTGGTGTACCGGTTATGTCTAATATTTTATTTAACTGATCGATATGATCTCTTCCACGAAAAATTGGTCTAAGTAGTATTAATTCTGCCATCATGCAACCCACAGACCATATATCAAGTTTTTGATTGTATCTTTCCCAATTGACAATTACTTCTGGTGCACGCCACCATCTAACAAGAAAATTTCTTGTGTCATTTAAAAACAAAAACAAGATAGCAAACATACCGGGTAGCAACATAACCAGTTTGAATATCATCTGATGCAATACGAGATAAGCCAAAATCGAGAATCTGTAAAACAATAGCAGAAGATAATATGAATAGTGACATCTTATAATATTAGATGACATGCAAGTTTCATTCGATTGCGCAATGCACTATGAAACTTAAAACATCAATTATTGGCAAAAGAATATCTCATGAAAAGAAAAACACAACAACCGTCTCTAGTGTATAGTAATATGTTTCTAAAAAGTAATACAATATATATCTAACTGTAGCAGTGTAGGCAACTTTTACATATAAAATCAGTTGTTTCACAATTGGTAGCTCATTGTTCTTGTTGTTTTCATTTTAATTATCTATAAAATGCGTTGAAAAATACGAAGTTCACAATATCTTTTTCAACTATCTTTTAACAAATAAAGCGTTCTATTAAAAATTAGAAAACAAATGACATCGATTCGATCATACAATTATATCCTTGCATTAGAATCCGTATCTTCTGATTTTCGATTGTCGAGATATGAACTATGAACTATAAATCCAAAGTTCGAAAAGAAAAACAACAAACTCACGTCAATCTACATAATTATTTGTGTCTCGCAGTGCAGTAAAAAAAGAACATTGAGGGAAGACAAGTTTTTTTTCTTCTTATCTTAGTTTTTGTTCATATGCCACAATTGATGTGCACTACATGAAAAAATTGAATAGTCGGTCCTGAATAACAGAAATTTTGTTTTTCTTTTTGTATTTATATATCAAATCCTAATTAGAACATTACCAAGAAACGAAACAACAATAGTAAACATTTGTCTACCTTCAACGAAGTTTTCTCTTGTCATTTTTCCTTGCATGTAAGGTCATGTTCTTTCAGTCTATCCAAATAATAGGATAACTGATGGAAATTATAAAACATTTACTTATTAGTACTTTCGATACTTATTTCAGTTTATTAGTAATTATAAGTGAAATTTTAATTTTTACATGAGTTCAATACTTACTGCTACATTACCCACTTTATCTATTCCAATATTTGCTGGCTTTAGATCCTATTTTAACAAAATAATCAACGATGCTTAATATAGAAAAAAAATATTTTTCTTTCATTTACACGATGGATAATACCAGCTGAATGAATAAACTAGATAAGAAATAAAAAAAAGAACAAGATTGTATTAGCTAGATATTCTAACAGAACTTATAATACCTTCAAACCACGAAGAAGACAATAGATAGTTTGTCTAATAAAATCTTCTGACAATGGCTGACGAGGTTTTGTAATTTTTTGCAAAGTATAATCAACAAAATTGAAGACAAAATATCTGTAAAAGCAACAGAAAATATCAACATTTTCATTAAACAATAGTATAGTTACAACATACAATGTTTTAAAATCGCTCAGTTTTTTCTCGGGTGTAAATACATCATATAATTGTACAACCTACAATAAAAAAGAATAATGCAAACAAATTCACATCAATACAAAGAATAATGTTTTTACACACATCTGCATCATAATGGTTGAGATAGATAAGTAATTTAAGTTCTCTATAAGTTCGTTTCGCATGTGTTACAGTTTGAAAAGGCCGCAACAATCTTTTAATAGCTACAAGTCGACCTGTTTTCTAAATTACAATATATTCATATTTTACTTTAAGTATTTTTCACAATAAAACATACTCTATCTTTAGCACGACTAAATAATAAAATTCAATAATTAGAAAAATAAAATGAAATTGATTTTTCAACTTACATCACAGTTCCGTAACTACCTTGGCCAATAGATGATAATTCTTGATATCGTACAGGTAACGTATATGTACATTCACCACAAAGAGTTGTATACCATTCCGTTTGAACTGTATTCTGGGCAGTCATAGCTGATTTTTGTTAAATTGAAGAGAATGAAATATGCCTAAAGTTTTATAATGTTGAAAATATATATATGAAAAAAAATTGTGTGCTTTTGTTTTTTTTGAAAAGAACGCAAAAGAAAAAAAACAACAGAACGAAAGGCAAAATCACACAAACAACAACTAATCATAAAGAAAGGAGAAATCCAACCAAATATTGTAATTATCTTCATTAAAAACATGTTATTGTACTTGCGAAATATAATGTAAGAGTGTGAGCGAAAATAGAATGGCATGTGTGAGTCATTTGGTTATAATATGATTCACAGGGTAGACAAATCTCTGAAATATCATGAAAGTTCTTAGATGAAGTAATAAAGACAAAACATGTGATACATATTCTATTGACAAATATTGCTTAATATAATTAAATTTTTGAATTTGTCATAAAACGATCTGCCAGGTTATGATTGCATGATAATCCAAATAAGTATCTTCTTATATTACATATGAAGTATTGCATATTTTATGCAGACAGAAGTAAGTACTGTTCCACTGATAAATTCATTTTATAAAGTAGGAACCCAAATATACATCTTTTATTTTGAATGATTACTCATGTCATTTTTTTTTCTCAGCAAAACTTATGGGAAACCATAGTTACTTTAAAAAGCAACCATCAGTTCAGGTGGTTCGCTTTTTTTGCATCAATTTTGATAATTTTTCATTAATTTGACTTCGCTTGTTGGGAAAAGATCAATTTCATATTCCAAATGACTACTTTTATGGTTTTCAGCATGTTTTGATAAATGATACTACAGCTGTTTCTATTGGTTTTTTGCTTTCGACTAATCAAAAATTTTGTGGCGCTACGTATGCTAAATTATTCAGCTTGTAAAATAAGCCAGAACAATGGATTTGGCAAATATGACACAACTCGAGCGCGTTCACGATTAATCAGGAGCATGATTCTGACTATGATTTTACAGATTTCTATCAGTTAATACTTTTTCAAAGAAAAGAGTTCTCGACCGATTATCCCAACATGGGAAAGCGTTTCAAGCTGAGTAGTATAGCTTAGTAGTATATATAAATGATTTCTGATCACTAGTTTACAGGCTCAAGTTTGGCTATACTTGCTTAAGATAATTATTCAATCCTTTCGCCATGGCAGACTAGGACTATCTTAAGATGAAAAAATTCTTTCAAATGTCATTTGGAATGCGTTTATATGCAAGAAATATTTCATCTGAGTCACACCTCAACGTATTCATTTTTCGCATTTCGAAGGCATATCAACCGTGATTCTGATGTATTCCGACTACTAAAAAGAAATATTTACGTCGAAGAAGACGTTATATAAAAGATATTCAATTTCTTCAACCAGACATTAATCAAATAAATCATCTATCATGAAAAAATCTTTTATAACAACGTACCGACTATAAACAGCTATGTAGAAATTATATTTGAACCTTGTTTTTATACAGGTTAAAATATATTTCTCTAACTAGTGTAGCAACAGGCCTGAGCATCTTTCTAGTGGTATTCGATGCAGCTAATCTGACATGTGATATTCGAACTCAAAGAATAGCTCGTATTTCGACATCTTCTTACTTTTATTTTTCTTGGTACCATTTATTCTCAAATTCAACAAACGCAGTTTCATTTTCGAACATCTCTGCAGTCTTTCAACTAATTTTATTGAACTAATAAGAGTTGGTTTAATGCATTCATTAATGTTGTTCAACAGAATTAAATAAGCATTATTTTCATGCTTCACAAACTTTCCCACGCTGAACATTATTTACTTCGTGCCATGTGAAAAATTTTGATGTATGAATACCTTACCGATAGCTGAGTTTCGTGTGAAATGACTAATGGAATGTTTCTTCGCTATTTTCATTGAATTATGCAGCAAGAATCGAGCAATAAACGGCTATTTCAGCGAAAGAGAGAGAGAGAGAAGTATTTACTTGCTTAAAATTGACTCAACATGTTATTCATACTTTTAGTCCAATGCTTTCGAAGTAAGAAGCTGTCAGTGATGATCAGTCATAAAGAAAACTTTGAAATCATATCAATGTTAAAACATAGATATCTAGTTTAATCCAACATATTAAAATGATCATCAATGTATAAAGTATATTGTGTCATCATTGTTTATGAATTGAATAGTTAATAAGTAATATGATATGATAACCCCAGTTTTTCAAATGACAAAGAAAGCTTTTGATATCCTATGAACAGATTCGTTCTATTCAGAATAGTTCAAAATCTAATTATCTGTTGAATATAGCTTTACAATATGAATCAATAAAAAAAAATTCGAATTTGCTGCTAATACTTCAAGTGCTTCTTTGAATTTCACTGACGACTAATTAGATTTATGAACTAGTACTATGAAGTAACGATATACTCTTTTTCTTATTTTGAAATGAACAATAAAAGGAAAGACAAGTCATTGTTATTCTTTTTCCAATAATCTATGATGTAATATTATTGTTATTTGATATTTCAGTATATAGTTTTATAGTTGATATCGAAACTAACTATCGATATTCGACAGGAAAATTTTGTTTTGCTTTTTATAATGAATATATAATAAACTTTTTTTTTATTCGAATGTATCTTTCATGTTACGAACTAACAAACTTTGATAAAAAAAAACATAGTACATAAAAGAAAATGTGCTGATTATTATATTTTATAACTAATGGTCAAATAACTCTATTTTGAATGAATAAAAATTTTCTTTTTAGCATAAAACATTTAAATATTATTTATTTTTATGTATTGTTATTTCGGAAAAAAAACTCGCATTGATATAGCTGTTTATCAGGAGACTGAATAACCATATGAATAACCATATGAACTAGTATATTGGGAAAAATGTGTAACATGACTAAAGTCATCATGTCGTACCAATCGATCGAATTCTGGAATATCATAGAATTCAGGATCACTTCCAAGAATTTGACCCATGGTTGGGTTTGGATTTCCACCCATTAAATTGTCAAGATATATACCCAAGGGACCTACAATAAGAGAAACAATTTAGACATATTCGTTGTTTCAATCAATATTTCTTATGTATTTCTCATTATTCATTCGAATAGAAAATAAATTATTATTGAGATTCATGATGAAAATTCGAAATTTATTACAAATCATGACATCATCTTTATTAAGGCAACGCTTTAAAGATTATAAACAAATCAATCAAAATTTTGTATATAAGCACACTAATAACTAAATGGCGAAAGAAAAAGAATCCCAATATTGATTTGAAGAAAGGAAAATATGCACAACAAGAATATATGAAAACAAGATGATTAACAAATTCCAAAAGAACAGATTTATAAAAAGAAGAACCATCAAGTTTTCAGCACCTTGAAGACACAAGTTTTATTTTGTTTAGACTACACAAAATTATAAAGCAAACAGCTCGTTACAAAATAAGACGCTTTTCAACTCTTTGCATAGTTCTCAATTGAATTTTTACTAAAAAATAGTAGAACAGCGCCATCATAGACTTTTGTAAGATTTCTATTTTTCAGCATAAAAGAACTATAGAAAACTCAAAAGCATTTCATGTTTTTTTGGAGAATTATTTGCTCTATGCTTTCGCGTGCCCTACATCAAATAATACTTATACGATCTAAATCCTGAAAAATCGGTGATTCCACTTTATGGAAATCCTTTCTTTTCAGATTTGGTAATTAGAATATTTTTATATATTTCTGTATGTAGATTTTTCTCTATTCGAACTATTATTTAAATTCTTTTTTACTACTAAGATAGAGGAAAAAATTGAAAGTAAACCTTAATGAATAGTGTGAGTAGCCACTATGTATATATATATGTGTTGTATCAAACTTGCAACTTCATCGACCAATGTAATATAGATACGACATATATATACGAAATGTGAAAAATAAATTCTATTCTAATTATATCTAGCAATAAGATTTCACAATTCTTACTCTCTAATCCACCAGGAATATTTTGTTCAATCCACATGTCAGATTCCAGTTCTGAAGCCATATAGGAATTGACTGGTTGCATTTTTAACGTATTTCTAAATCAATAAAGTATCAAGAAATATTTTTTTTTGTTTTAGTCAATGAATAAACACTGATTTCATTGCATGTATTTAAATACGATCTTCTTGTATATGTAATTATAGGTAAAATATGAGAAAACAAACGGAAAAATTTCTCAACCGTAACAAGAAAAATATGTACGGAGCTGATAATGATTCACAAGCAAAAAACATACCTGACAGTATCTTTTTTTTTTACTAATTTTTATTGATTCGATATGAATGTTTACACGCCTACATGCAATAAATTGTTTTTGAAATTATACGTAAGCAATTTTTTTTTATTATTTTCCTACGGCATTTTTTTTCGCTTGACTACATTGAGTGGGTAATTCTTTCATGCAAAAAAAATATAGGCGTAATGATGTCATGTAATAAATAAAATATTATCTTGATGATGATAATTATTGGTTTTTTTTTCCTATGTATTGGTGAATCATATTTAAAAAAATAATATATTTTCATTAATTCATGAAATGAAGTATAAACAAGTGTTTTATATTTTAAATAAAACATTGATTTAAAAAGGATAATCATAAATGAAGAGGTTGTTTAAACAACAATATTCTGTAATAATAAAATATTGAGTGAATATTATTTATTCTAAATTATGATTTAACATAGAAAAATAAGCGAATATTTTCATTTTTATATTTAAATATAATCGAATAAAATAAATCTCAATTCAGAAATATGTAAGGTGCCAGTAATGCAAAATTTCAGCACACTTTATGTTTAGCTGAGACCTACATTACTAGATTTAGTTTTTTACACTGATCACGAAAATATCCTTACTTTTTCGATTCAACAAAATTTTGATGGAGAAAAATTCTAAATACTGACAAGGTATTAAAATCTTCAAAAATAACCTTAAACTTGTTATCATTTCAGTTTTTGCTCTTGAAGATGTGGGTATGAGGCGTGGATGTTGGTGTTGATATTAGTAGAAACAAGACCCAAACTCAAACCCATCCACAACTACACCCAAACACCGACGCACCACACATATACCTATATCCACCCACTTCCAAAACCTACACCTACACCTTTACTTTCGGAGAAAGAAAAACATTGAATCAGAATAATATTCAGCTTTTCATAAGACTCCTTTGCAATTGTGTCATGCTGTATGCTTAATCAGAAAAAAAATTTATTCATTTCATGATTTCATCATCGATTTGGAAAAGAAATTATCATAGGAAAAAAATTCAATTATACTATGCATACAAAAGATATTTACAATCTTCTCTGTGAATCAAAGTTTGTCTCTTAAATATAGAGAAGTTTTAATCAAGGCATATTTTTTTTCTCTTTCTTTGTTGACATCATAAATATATGTTTTTATTTGTTGATGATGTCTGAGAGAATTTCTAATAAGAAAACGAACTTTGACAATAAACAAATCGTCGAAGAATAGGAAAAAATACACCAAATTTATATTAATCAATCTACCTGATCAATAACGAATGAAAAAAAAACCTGAGATGACATTATGAACATATTGAAAAAGCAATTATTATGAGAAGATATCGATAGACACGAAATTCACACGAACACATATTATGAAATTTGAGAATTTCAAGACTAGTAGTATCATTTGTGAGACAACTATTATTATGATTTTGTCATAAATAAATTACACTCATATACAAAAACATGTCAAAGACTATTATTTGATATATCATAATAACATTGAAATCTTCTTAGAGAACGTATTGAAAAATTCTTAAATTTCTTTTAGTAAATTTTCAATCCATATTTAGTAAGTCATAGGACTAATGTCAGATACAATGAGAACTGACTTTTGTTAATATTGCCTTCCATAAACAGTATATCAGTAGATATCGAATAGTATTCAATAAATCTATTCAAATATAAATCTTACATTCATAGGTAAATTAAGATAATATGCTATAGAATAATTTCCTTTTATTAATTTCAATGTATTTTTATTATAATGAACATATACCTTGAATTTCATATCATGACCTAGTAAAACTGCATTCGCTTTTTGTTTACAATAATTTTTTTGAATAATACACATCTACTCATTGTTAGTGTCTATCGATAAAAAATCTCTGGGCGGTTGAATATTAATTAAATAGAAAATACTCTGAAAAGTAATCATCACTGGTACGGTTTCGAATACTATCACATGCAGATGTTTGCAAACTCTATTTAATTCGTTATTTCAAAAAAACTTTTTTTCTTACTTTCGTCAGAGTCTTTGGTAAAGCAAGACAAAAGAACAGAAGTCATCTTTCATAATGCTGTAGATTACAAACGTCTCAGTAAGCAACAACAGTGTTCAAAAACGATTGATACTATTCCGATAAGAACTGGGTTTTCATGTATGATAATTTATGTCATTCATGTACAGACGATTGACCCATAAATAATGAGCCTTGCGATGTTTTGCATGTATTTTCATTTTTGTACAACATGAAGAAGCACATTTTAATGTTCTAGAGTCTTAAATATTTCAACTAATTTGGTTAGGAAACGCTAGCTTGGCCATAACGATGAAACAGATATGTCTAAAATCGAGAACTACCAAACCAAGAAAAAAGCTTTTTCATCAGTTTTTGTTCTAGGTAATTTACTTCTTTAGTAAGTTTTCTTCAGTCTCACACTTAGTTTGAACCAACCAACAATAAAAAAACATATCACTAATGAAGTTATTTAAAAGTTTCAAAGTTGATTTATTTGTTTGTGATTATACATTATTGTTAATATACGAAAATGTATACTAATACTATTACTACTGCTATTCATACGTTTATGAAAGCTTTCAATAGTTTCGAAATATGATCGACAAATGTTCAGTGTGTAAACATATTTTCTGTAATGTATGAACTTCACAGCCATCATATATATATATATATTTGCTTAAGTTTATTAAGATTTACCGAAATTAGAATACAACAACGCCCACAGTGTCACATATGAATAGCAATAGTTTTAACATACAATTGTTGTATATTAACAATAATGCTTATTCACAGACGAATACATCAACTTTCAAACTTTAAAATAAATTCATTAGTGTTATTTTTTTATCGATAGTTGGTTCAAACCAATTGGAAGATAGAAATAACATACTTACTCCAGAGGAAAAGCGCGTAGAACACAAATTGACAAAAATGTTTTTTTCTTGAGAGCTGCTGAGTTTAGATATATCTACTTTTTGATCAATCGCAAATAGTAAATTCTAATAGAGTCGGTTGAAATATGCAAGATAGCAGAGCATTAAAAAGTGCATTTAAAAAAAAAATAATTTGCTTCTTCACGTTGTACAACAATGAAAATATATGCAAAACACCGAGATGCGCATTTTTTATTGGCTACCTGTTATTTGGTTTGGTACTGACACTTATATTGAATTTTCTTTTTTCTTTTTTTAATTGCTTATTTGATAAAGATACTTGAAAAGTACATAGTTCTTTCACATTGATAAGTTTAGTTCTAGTCCACCCTCATAGACCCATAAAACAGTCAAAATGTGGCTTCACCACCGCCTCGCCAACAAATATTTTTTTATGAATTTTTCCAACCTCATGTTAAATTACTATTTCTTTTATTTCATAACAGCAAATTAAGTTTCAGATGTGCAAAAAGTCATTGATTAAAAAGAAAACTGTATCTTCCTAAGAGTTTTTTTTTGGATGAACTAGGTTTTGTACTGGTGGTAGAGAACAGTTCAAAGTTTTTATTCAATAATATGAGTTTTTTAAATACTCTTACCAAGTAATTTCTTTAGATTCAATTCACTATAAAAGTCCTTTGTTTGAGGTGCAATAACAGAATATATAAGGCTATTTTGCTTGAATTTATTTTATTTTGTTTCATGATTATAGTCTTACTATTATTTCGACCTATCTTCCTTCCTTTATAAATGTTTATCTGACACATCTGACAAATCCAAAGTGATTGATACAATTCAAAAAGGGTTTGTTCCTCTGTTATCAACTTTGATTACGATGAACTGAGTCAATCAACGCATTTGAAGAGTTTTCGTGGACATTAGAATTGAGATTAGTGTGTCTAGTTTGTTAAAAACCTCCAACAAGTATTTCTAAACGAAGGGAATTACGTATTTAACAAGATGACATAGTTGAATGAAGAAAGAAAATACATAAAAACTTAGTTGGAGCTATATATAGAACGGAGTGGAGCATAATGAATAGCTGCGTTTGGTATTTTGATTTTTCTATCATTTAATTCGTGTAATTAAAAAAAATAAAATGTACCACCAGATGCAGCGTGAAAAGCTCTATAATTTACAAGAAACAGCCTATTTTACATATGCGCTTTTCTTTTTTAAAATGAGCAGATTTCTGTGCGATCACTTTTTAACACTTCAAGGAAGATCATTCACTGATACACGACAATTTTTTTTGTTTTATCAATTAATGAATCTTAGTTTTAAACTTTATACCATTGCATATTGTCGACGATAGTGCCCCTTTCGTAACAATCCAAAACATTTTGTTCAAGACTATTAGGTAGTCATCATCGGTTGTCACTGCATAGCATAAAATTTTATTCGCACTATCCTAACGATTTCTTATGTTTAATGTCATGTAGTATTGTCTTATTGGGAGATAAAATCGTAGTCCAGCAGCTGTTTACCTCCAGATTTTGCATCTAGAACAAGAACTTCAATATGACTTTCATCAGGTTATAAAATAATTGGAAACGTAGGCGACTTTATAGGCATCTTATCACCCAATAATTCTTTTTAGATACTTGGTCGTTTTGTTTATATCATCTTGTTCTTCTTGAACTATAGGCGGATGCTATATGGAAACATTTTTGCCAGTGAATAGAATTGTCTTTAATCGGTCAGATAAAAAAGCGAATTGACCGTTTATCAAAATATGGTATTATTGTAAATTGTAGAGATTTTACGCTAAATGTTGTAGTATATTTTGTTTTTTTGTAAGTAAACGAATAAATGACGAAAAAATGAAATGTAAAATGCGGCCATTGACTGTGTCCCCACGCGTTATATATGGTTTGTTATATTTTGATTTATTGTTATTTTTATCTGATGATGGTGACAGTGCTCACCGCGAATTTTAAATAAGCAAACTCAGAAAGAAGTGCATCGTATGATGACGATAAGATATAACTCGGGGATTGGCAGATCTCTGATCCACATAGTGCCATATCAAAAGACTAGAATTGCGAAAATACCCGGTTTTTTGAATTAAAAAAAATCATAAGGGATTCCATTCAAATGATCAAAAAAATGTGAGCATTGCTGTTTTTTTTAAATACATTGATTGAAACGAATATTTGCACTAGTTTAATTCCATGACTTTAGTTAAAAACAAAAATCGTCGCATATGCTGCATTAAAATATCCCTGCAAATTACTAAATATGATACATATCAATCTTCTGTATTCGTTCCATTCCTCGACATGACATCTTGTTTTTGTGATTATGACAAAACTTCACGAAACTCAAGAAATTTTTTTTGATTTTTTGAAGCCCATAAATATTTTCTCTGATAACAATCGTATATACAAGAAGTAATACATATTAATACTCAAAAGTGTCGCCAATATAAACAATAGCTTTCTCTCCCAAGTAAAAAGGTTCCTCTCAGTTCAAACTTCATAAAACAGCTGATCCTTAGTTTTTACTTGTTGAGAAAATATCTTGTTGAAAGAAATTGTTTTTCAATGCACACTCTACTTAACAAAAAAAAAATTCATGAAATATTTTGATTTGCTATTCAGAGTTGTTTTTCACTATACGATAGTCTTCCAGGCATTCGCTTTTCTAGATTTTGGTTCATCGAATTAAGTAGTGGCAAACAATGTACTTGTATGTATTCATATTGTGTTGTTCTATTGTTTTTACTGATGCAAGGCACTTCAATGGAGGAACGATAGGATGGACTCCCATTGATCCTTATGATAATTCTACTTCTGTTGATATTATTATTACACAATCTTATTCATGGACATATCCATATGTACAATGTTCCACCAATGTACCAATCTCGACTAGTACATTTAGTGGTGCCAACACTAACCTGATTTGTATGGCTGACTGTTCGACTGATGGTGGTTATTCTACTAAACCAATTGATATTCTTACTGATTGTACATCAACTAGTTCATCATTGAAAATGATGACTACTGAACGATCGAAAAATATTACTCTTTCTGCTGATGCGCATTTTTATCTATCTTATAGAGGAAATGCTTGGTTATCATTAAATGATCCTGCACAACCAGGCCTTGATTGGTCTATTGTAACATACACTGATCTTCGTAAACGACCAGATGGTTTCATTAATACTCCACCTGTTGCCAAGGTTGTTTCTCCACAATATACCATTGTGAATAAAACAATACAAATAAAGATTCCTGTGTCAGATGCGAATGCTGGTGATGATGTACGGTGTCGATGGTCAAAGTATACAAGTGGATATCGAAGACGAAAACGATACAACAACAAAGATCCTGCAGCTCTCAAATATACTGATGAGAACTACAAGAGATTAGTTGAACTTTCAAACGATATTCAGATTAGATGGAAAAGATTTTTGTGGAGCAATCCCTGTGATACCCTGTGTGCATACAATTGTCCTTGCAGTGGTACTACGTGTGTAGGAACCAACTGCGGCAGTACAAACTGTCCTATATTGGATGTTTTTGGCGGTTGTACGGCCACAACAACTGGACACACTACTACCGAAACTCCAGGAACACCGAAATCGACTTCATCATTTCCCATTCGACAAGCAATTGACGAATGTGCTAATATTTGTTACCCACGTGGTGTTCCTAATGATACAACTTTGTCCAACTGTAGTATCACGTTCACAGGTCCTAAAGCTGGTGTCTGGTATGCAGTTGCTATTCAGGCAAGTAGATTTTTATTCACTCATTACTAAACGTTCAACCACGTTCATGACATTATTAATATTACAGGGTGTTCCAAAAGTCCGGAAGAAAAGTAAATTTGAATATCTCTATTATTTATCGAGCTTAATCGAATGCTTTTTTACAAGTGATAGGTACTGGTATGAAGTTTTTTTTTGATACGGACAAGGTTCACAAATACTGTTTAAAGTTATTTGTTTCGGCTGATACACAAAGAGCATCCATTTTTCGGTTTTCGAAAAATCGCTAGACATTGTTTCTTGTTTATTGCTTTAGTTTTTGGCATCTCATACGATATTTAGATAGATCGGATCCTTCACTATCATTTTTCTGCATTTATTTTGATATGTTACTACACAAAGAAGCATAATAGTGTCACGTCCGGCAATCAAGAAACTCAAAGGATCGGTTCACTTTTTCCAGTTCACGAGTCATCGTTCGTAAACACATAAAGATTTCATGAGTTTCGTGAATACCGAACTTGAAACCATTATGCTTCTTTGTGTAGTAACATATCAAAATAAATGCAGAAAAATGATAGCCAAGGATCCGATCTATCTAAATATCGTACGAGATGCCAAAAACTAAAGCAATAAACGAGAAACAATGTCTAGCGATTTTTTGAAAACCGAAAAATCGATGCTTTTTGTGTAATCAGCCGAAACAAATAACTTTAAACAGTACTTGTGAACCTTGTCCGTATCAAAAAAAAAACTTCATATCAGTACCTATTACTTGAAAAAAATCATTCGATTAAGCTCGATAAATAGTAGAGATATTCAAATTTATCGATACCTCCGAGCTTCGGAAACAACCTGTACTGAGCAATCAAGACTAATATTAGTATATTTCTATATTTGGCTAGATAATAGTAGTGTTACGAGCTTGTTGTGCCCTTTTATTAGTTAGAAAACCATTCATCATCAACCGTATCAGATCAATCATTTTTTGTCGACATAGATAATTCGTAACTTTATACATAAGGCACTAGTCTCGCAAAAAAATAATGTTATGAATATCAAAAATATAACATGTCAGTTTATTTATGACATAACCTAATACATATGTTTAGTATAGAATGATGATATCTTTTTTTATAGGTTGAAGATTTTATCAATGAAACAAGTATGACACCAATGAGTTCTGTACCAGTTCAATTTTTGATTTATGTTCAACCACAACCAGCTTGTTCAATCGAACCTGTGATTATTCCTCTAGATCGTTGTCTAGAAGTACAAGCTGGTGTTACAATCAGCTTTAATCTATCTGCAATAAACTTATGTGATCAGAGTGTGGCTACACTTATTGCTATCATTGTTTCCAGTGGAATTAGTGGTGTGACTTATGGTAATCTTACACATTCATCAACAAACTCATCAATCTATTATGTCATGTTCACTTGGACACCACAGGCAAATCAAATTGGAGTACAGCAATTATGTACAGTTGCATATACGAGGTATAATTTTTCTTGACTAGGTTTTCATGATTGTTACCTAGAGGAAATTCTTGATGTTTCTGTTCCAAATCTTTAATAGATCTAATATGAAGCCTTCAAGAATTTGCACTTTCTTCCTGAAGAAACAATTAAATCTTGAAAAAAGTGCGAAGCCTAGAAATATGATTTTATCAAGATCCTGAGTAGTTTACCATTCGACTTTGAATCGAAAATCAGTTTAGAGAGCACTAAATCCTACAAAATAGTGCAGCCAGAAAACGTTAAAGATGTGGAAAGGATATGTATGGATGTTGGGCGTGGGTTTATCTTATCTGAATCCATATCCGAACTTTAGATTTCGTATTCTTGTTAAGACCCATCTGTGCTTTAGCTACTATCGATGATCGGATCCTAGTCTCGAGATTGAGGGCAGATACTGGCTAAAACTTGATAAAACTTTGATAGCGTCCTGTTTGATATTTCTGTGACAACTCTAGGTAGAATTGAAAGATTTTCCTAGTAAAATTCATCATTATTGCTCTAGAAAAAAATCTTGGCAGGAACTTGAACAAACCCTGAACATGAACCTGTTTAACGGTCAGAGATCCTGCGAACAGAAATTACCAGAACTCTAGATAGGATCCTGAATAAAACTATACAAAATCCATTGGATTCAGGATCCTGAAAGATCCTTCGCAGGTTTCTTCAGGAATGAACAAAGTTGAAACTAGGGTAATAATATCTTTCTTTTTGTTAATTAGTGAAAATGTACAATCTATCCAATATTGTGTTACATTTACTGTAAAAAGTTCATCTGATACTTGTGTAACAACTACAACTTCAACTACAACTACTACCTCTACTGCAACTACTTCCACAACAACTACTTCTATTACGACCTCTTCCACAACCACATCCACAACAACCACTTCCACAATGCCTACTTCTACAACGACCACTTCCACAATGCCTACTTCTACAACGACCACTTCCACAGCAATCACCTCAACAACATCATCGGCAACTATAACGACAACAACAACTTCTACAACATCTGCCACTACATCACTCTCACAAGTATTAAACATCCAATCGCTCAACCATCTGCCTCTTGTGCTTGGACTAGTTCTAGGCCTTGGTATTCCACTACTGCTCATCCTGAGTATATTGGCTACTTGTCTTTGTTGTCGATGGTGTCCAGGACTTTTCTGGTACGTAGATATATGTTATACTTGTGTTGGTGCCTGGAATTCATTTCGTTCCTTAGGAGAAAATTGCGGGATAGATTTTGGCGAGATGAGCATGCTCATTGCGAAGTATGCCGAAGACAATGCAATACTCATTCATATGACAACAACAGTAAAATATCTGATGAGAATCTAAGGAACTATCGACGACAGTACATCAATGATAGTTCGTGGGCACCGACGACAAACTCATTCTACGGACACTCCTATTTGTCTGATTCATTGTTGCCTTTCGATGCTTCATCGCAAACAACAACACGGACTATGTTCATGTCGTCTACCTCAATTAATGTGATGCCAAGCGAAGACATTTCAATGCAAATGCATGGTGGTGTGCAACCATCTTTCATTGAATCTGGTGGATCAATACTTGTGCGAGCTTATGTTGCACAAGAACAAACAAAAGACAAATTTTCCGATTGATTTACATTTTTGATAGAATATTGCGTTCAACTGTTCTTTCCTATTCATAATCCTATTCAACGAAACTCGCAAAGCGAAACACTTCTCTTTATTCATGGACACATGTAAAATTATTTGTGCATTTGCTATCGAATATTATTTGCAAAAATAGAGAGAATTTTGTTATAAAATACAGAAGGAAACGGTGGGAACTTGACTGTGACTATGAGCTGAGTTTAGGTGGTTTGTGCTGATGTATGAATGAAGGACGTGTGAGCGAAGGAGGAGAGAAAGGGACGGTTGAGCATAAAGACTCAGAAAGCATAAAAAAGTTGCAGAAATATGAAGAAAATCGATTGCCAGAGTGAAGAAAGTCTTCGAAATTATCCTTTTGCTCATTAATACAAGTGATCTCTTCTAATATATTGAGACATAACGAAGTTAAACTACAAAACGATTGATTATATATTAGAGTCTTACTACTCGATTGGAGTATACTATGAAAATATTGATAGAATAATTTCTTTTTGAAAATACCGTATCCACTGATGTTCTCTGTTATTTGCTGTCTCTTCCAAAAAAAAAACCACTGTTCATACATTTCTTTTCCAATAGAAAAACGTTTCAAATTTGAAAAAAATATAGTCATCAACTTAAATTTCAGGTAATTAACTCTTACATATGGAATACAGGATCCAAGACCATCAGTTAATGAAAATTTTAATTAAAATAATTTATTTTTAGTACATCGTAAAAATTGTTTTTCCTACCAAAATTTATGCTCACTAATGTGAATCATTTTTATTACAAAAATTCAAAATTTTTTGTTTGCTCAGAGAAAGCTTGTGAATTGATGATAGCGAAGTGATAAATAATTGAAATTCGCAAAGTTAAGGATATATTTGTCGTTAATGGTTTCACTTATGCTGTTATTAGAAAAAATGAGTAATGAGCTTATTTTTGACCTGTAATGTGTTTATTGGTTAAGTTCATCATTTTTTTGAAAATGTTTTGTGTAATTCATAATATTGATTTCTCACTATCAGATAATTTTTATTTGTTGAAAACGATACTTTGAACCGAAATGTTGTTCGAATTGAATATACAAAAATTGTTCGATGCGAAAAATAGGTGAGATATTTATTATAAAAGAACAAAAGTTTTCAGCTATATGAAAAAAACAAATATCAGTTCATAGATTAATTTTAGTCATTCTAATTTTGCGATGGTATACTGTAAAAGACAAGTAGATGCCAACCATTTTCGAGGATATTTGTTTTTAAGCAACAGAAAAGTAACAATAAAGAGCATCATACCTCACATCAACATCCACACCACACACTTAAAATGGTTTTTTTTTTATTAGGTCCACTTTTCTATCAGAATTAATGTCCGTTTAACTTCATGAAAATCTGTGGATCTATAAGTTTTAGTTTTGAAAAAAAAAAAACAAATTCTAGTTCACCTGCTACACATGTCAGAGAAATATACGCCCATTTGTAATGATTTGCAACGTGATCATAGCGTTTTTCATCTTGTTTTTCTATTGGATTAATTTATACGTCTGAATGTAAGCTTCTATTCAAAGAAAAAATCCTCTTGTTCTTTTATTACGAATTTCTCGGCTGTTTTTCGTATCGACTAATAATCGGCGCGCAATTTTTGTTCTTCCAATTTTGGCTTTCCCACTCCACTCTTCATACAAATCCGTTTCAATTTTGCCATTCTGTTTAATCAGACGATAATTTATTCCATTCCATAACTTTATCATTAGTTTTATGGTTAAAAAAAAACATATACAATCATAAAAGAATCCAATTCATCTATGAATACAGGAGATATTTACAATCTTCTCTTCAAATCAAATAATTGTTTTTATTACTTAAATATGAAAAGTTTTAATTAATGCATGCTATTTTTTTCTTCCATTGTTGACATGACGAATATATCTTTCTTTGTTGACGTTATCTAAAAAAAATTTTTAATAAGAAAGCGAATCAGAGCAATAAATAAACCATTGAAGAATAAAAACAATCACAATAAATTTCTATTGATTAATCTGTCTGATCGATAACGAATGAAAAAAGGACTTGGGACAACATCATGAACATATTAGAAAAGCAAACATTATGAGAAAATATTTATAGACAAGAAGTTGATACTAACGCTGTAGTATGAAATTTGAATTCCAGTAGTATATTTTGCAAGATGAATATCATAGTGACTGCCATAATAATATTCTACATATACATACAAATTTGTCAAAGACTATTCCACAACTAATATAATAAAATTGAAATCTTCTTAGATTTCTCTTATTAACTTTTCTATGCATGATAAGCAGAGTAAAGGACTCCTCTCAGATCCAATAAGCATTGATTGTTGACGATATTAATTTTCATAAAGAGTACATAGGTGAATATTCAATAGTATTCAATAATTTCTTTTGTTTTCAAATGAAAACTTTGCGTTTATAATTAAATTTCGACAGTATCTCATAGAAGGAAATTATTATTGATTGAATTATGCTTTTTTTATAATAAACATAAACTTTGAATTTTACATGCTGGTGAAGCACAGGTACATTCGCTTTTGTTTGCAATCTTATTTTTGTATAATACACAACTACACGTTGCTTGACTATTGGTAAAGCACGTCGATGTGATTGAATATTAATCAAATTGAAAAAAAAACTTGAAAATTAATATTCACTAGTATGGTTTCATGAAATATAACCTGCAGACACTAGCAAATTCTATTCATTTCTTTATTAGAAAAAGCCTTCTTTTATTCTCATCATAAACTGTGGTAAAGCAACGGAAGTGATCTTGCAGATGTGTCTCAAATTGCAATCATTTCACTGAACAACATTACTATTTAGGAACAATTGTTACTAATGCAAGAAGAACTGTATTCACAGGTATTGAAATTTATGTCGTTAATATATGCATGATTATAAAAATATATAATTCAGAGAAATCATTTAGTTTGGTATTGATACTTACACTGATGTTTTACTTTATAATACTTATTTAATAGAGGAACTTGAAAAGTAGATTATTCTTGCAAACGAATAGATCTAGTTATAATTCACGTATTACAATACCAAGAGAATAGAGTTTTAATAAAACGCAAGTCAGAAATTAACAAAATCGAAAAAAATGTATTAAAATGATTCGAGTGACATGACCATTGATGCTTTTTATATTCATTGATTAGAGCAGTTACCTAATGAATTTGAAACAATACATTAGTTTTTATATCAGTTTTATCCTTCAAAATACCATTCTTTTTCGTGGTTTTGAGAAAAAATTCATGAAAGTCATGAAATTATTTTGTTTTGTTAAGTCTATGGACACTTCGTCTGATAACAATCGTACAAACAAGTAATACATATTCACGTGCAGAACTCCTATTCACATAAACAATCTTGATTTTATTCAATGAAAAAATGTTCGTCCCGTTTCAAACTAGAGTCCTGCACGGGTACTACTTTTCGCACCCGGACCCGGCCCGGCTCATTTTTTTCAAACCCGGAATCCGACCGGACCCGGTCATCTTCCACCCGGAACCGAACCGGACCCGAATAGCTCTACCCGGTACCCGACCGGACCTGGCCCAGCCTTGAAATAGTCAGCACTTGATTGTTATTGTCAAAATTATATTCACTTTTCAAACTTTTATTTCATATGGCAAAATATACTATTATTTTAATTTAATAATGTAACAATTTGTACCCGGACCACAGTTCCGGGTCCGATCGGGTGCCGGGTATCCGGCCCCGTTGCAGGACTCTATCCTAGAGTGTAAAATACTTTTACTTGTTAAGATGTCATCGACTACCGGTCGGGTACCGGGTATGCTCAAATTCTGCGCCCGACCCGGCATTTTTTTTTATACCCGGCACCCGAACCGACCCGGCAAATTTGTACCCGGACCACAGTTTCGGGTCCGGTCGGGTGCCGGGTACCCGACCCCGTTGCAGGACTCTACTTCAAACTTCATTAGACAGCTGATCATCTGTGTCTTTTTCCTCGTTCATTGAGAAAATATCGCATTGAGAGAAAGGGTCTCAATGTACACTCTGCTTAGCAAAGGATAAATCAATGAGATTTTCTGATTAATCAGTAATAGTTGTTTTTCATCATATGATATTCATGGATATATTTGTTTTCTAGATTCTGATTCATTAATTTAACTACTGATAAAACATGATTTTTGGTCTATTCATATTATTTTGTTCTTTCACTTTTACTGGTGCAAAACATTTCAATGGAGGAACGATTGGATGGGCTCCCATTGATCCTTATGATAATTCCACTCCCGTTGATATTACCATTACACAGTCTTATTCATGGACATATCCATATATACAATGCGCCCACAATGTACCGATCACGACTAGTGGATTTGGTAGTGCTAACACTAATCTGACTTGTGTAGTTGATTGCTCAACTGATGGTGGTTATTCTACTAAACCAATTGATATTCTTACTGATTGTACATCAACTAGTTCATCATTGAAAATGATGACTACTGAACGATCGAAAAATGTTACTCTTACGGCTGATGCACACTTTTATATTGCTTATAGAGGAAGTGCTTGGGTACCATTAAATGATCCTGCTGAAAAAGGTCTTGATTGGTCTATTGTAACATACATTGATCTTCGTAAACGATCAGATGGTTTCATTAATACTCCACCTGTTGCCAAATTTGTGTCACCACAATATGCCATTGTGAATAAAACAATACAAATAAATATACCTGTTTCTGATGCCAATGCTGGTGATGATGTACGATGTCGATGGTCAAAATATACAACTGGGTATCGAAGACGAAAACGATTCGATAAAGAAGAACATATCAAGCATCGATCTGATATTTATTTTTTAAGTGAAGTAGCTAGTGATAGAGAATTCATTCATACTAGAAAAAAAAGACAAGGTTGTAGTACCTGCTTGTCTTCATGTCCATATGGCTGTAGCTGCGGCTGTAATGGCTGTACTTCCACAACATGTACTGGGACGACATGTACTGACAGTGGAGGATGCTCTGCGACAGTTGCGACGACCACAATCCATACGACGACGACAACAACTGTTGCAGCAACCACAACAGGTGCAACAACCGCGATCAATACAACTACTACAGAAACTCCAGGAACACCGAAATCGACTTCGACGTTTCCAATTCGTCAAGCAATTGATGAATGTGCTGATATTTGTTACCCTAATAGTGTACCATCTGGTACAACTCTGTCCAACTGCACTATCACATTCACAGGTCATAAAGCTGGTGTCTGGTATGCAGTTGCTATTCAGGTAAGCAGATTTTTATTCATTTATTACTGATTTTTCAACTATGGTCATGAAATTATTTATCTTTACTGAGGACTTACAGTTAATATCAATTTAATTGAACATTTAACCATCTGATAACAGTATTCCACGTTTGTTGAACTACTTTATGAATTAGAAAACTATGTACATTCAATCGTATCACATAAATTGTTTTCTCCTGATATAACCTACGTGTAAAAAGTCTTGTTACAAAAGTTTTGTTCGATTTTCGATCACTTGAAGGTCGCAGGACAGACTCAAAAGTAATCAGTTAGATAGAGAATTTCATGCTCTTTCTAAATATATATTCAGAATTTTATTCTGACTTGAACTTGACTCATTAGGAGCAGATATTTGATGGGGACCGAGAACAACGTTTGTACAAAACGCTAATTTCAAAAGTAATGATAACTATGTTTGCTGATTTTTCGGTCATTCAAATGTAATCGAATAGAATCTAAAGTAGTCATTTAGAATCAGAGTTCGATTGTCTTTCGAAATATATCTTTAGAATTTTGCTCTGACTCTTAGCTAGTCAGCTGTAAGCAAATACCTGAATAAATAAAAATCTCGTTTGCAACATGTAAAACGCACTTATTTTCCTCTCGTTCGTAATATCTCTAAAAGGTATCATAGGGTAATTATTACTTTCTATTGTTGAAGAGAATTACATATTTTACAGAACTATGAGTTACAATAAACTAGAACTCAGAAGGATAAAAAGTTACAAATATTTTTCAGAACTCTACTCTTTTCATGCAATGACATTTTTCAAAAGAATCGTTTATTCCGTATTGCGCTGTTTGACGTTCCAGAAAAGCTGATGGTTTGTAATGATATGTTAGAAACAAAGTAAATTGAGCATTTTGTAGAGCAAGCTTCATTCTACAAACTGGTGTATAAAATCTCTTTCGTTTAATTTGAACTGAAGCACTTTTAACCAAAATACAAGAATGGCCTGCATGGAACATTTTGTACAAATGTTGTTTTTGGTCTTCGTCAAATATCTGCTCCTAATGAATCAAGTTCAAGTCAGAATAAAATTTTGAATATGTATTTAGAAAGAGCACAAAATTCTCTTTCTAAATGACTACTTTTGAGTCTGTCCTGCAACCTTCAAGTGGTCAAAAATCGAACAAAACTTGTGTACCAAGACTTTTTACAAGTAGGTTAGATGATTTATAGTTTTTATATCGGACACTGATCTAGAGACAAAAAAAATGATTTGATGAGTATCGAATGAATAAGATATCAGCTTAAGTTTATGAAATAATCTAATATTGATGTATAGTATTCAATGATCATTCTGTTCTTTATAGGTTGAAGATTTTATCAGTGGAAGCAGTATGACACCCATGAGTTCAGTACCAGTTCAATTTTTAATATATGTTGAACCACAGCCAGCTTGTTCAAAAGAACCTGTAATTATTCCTCTAGATCGTTGTCTAGAAGTACAAGTTGGTGTCTCAATTAGCTTTAATCTATCTGCAATGAATTTATGTAATCAGACTGTAGCTACACTTACTGATATTGCTGTTCCAAGTAGCATAACTGGTATGACTCATGGTAATCTTACACATTCATCAACAAATTCATCGATCTACTACATGAAGTTCACTTGGACGCCACAGACAAATCAAATTGGATCACAACAGTTATGTACAGT